CCATGTTACACACTGAGAGCCAGGGACAGGATTCGAACCCAAACCCCTGACATTATGAGGCGTCCATGTTACACACTGAGAGCCAGGGACAGGATTCGAACCCAAACCCCTGACATTATGAGGCGGCCATGTTACACACTGAGACCACTGTAGCATGCAGGTAAAATGAACGGCTTTCTTATTAACATTATGTACGATTAGTCAAACAGTCTGCGTTCTGCATTTTAAATAATACTCCATTTATCAATAAGCAAAAGTCTAACATTCTGTGGAAACCTAACAGTAAAGCTTTTATCCTGAAATGTGATCTGATGGTAACAGCGCAGCTTTTTATTCAGTAGTCAGAGGAGAGCAGGGAGGCAGCGAAACAGCGAAACTGCTCCAGCAGGGGGCAGTGAAGTGCGTAAGAAGAGCATAAAGTTAAAGCTAGATTCCTTAGACTTCACTAACCCCCCCCCCCCCCATTGGTACGTACTGCATGTACACAAGAGGAAAACAGACACTGGCAGATACTTTCTTAAAATACTAGATATTACTTGTAATAGACATTTCATATTATACAAATCAACTAATTATATGTTTTCATTTATATTTGATGGAAAGCAACATTTCACAGACCGCAGGTACTATACCGTACATTTATTCTATTTAGCTGACGTTTTTCACAAAAGTGTTGTAAAGCGAATAAGAAGCTGGTGTATACGTAGCGTCCGCGCATAACTGGGATGCAGAAATTTCTGTGGCGTTTGCAGCCAGACTGCACATCTAATTCCACCATTAACCGCAAATGGGAGCTCCGTGTTTGCGGAGAGATTTGTTTTCAACGTTGTCAGTACTGGAGCTGAATAAATAGTGGATGTGAGTCGCGCATGCCAATCGCGTTAAACTTATCAAGTATTAAACTATTCAAGACTTTGACTTTGTTTTTAGTTTTAGTTATTTTCATTTTCTTTGGCTTTGAACGCTCACATCCACGGTTGACCCTGTTGCGACATCGTTGACATAGGAACCATTGTGCGATATGCCTTTGGTTACATCCGGACATGCAGGGAGGTGGCACCTACGTGTGTCTCAGTTTATATTTCCAGCGTCAGTCTGCTTGTATTTATCGGCGGACTGACTGCGAATGTCATGGCAGCGGTTAGAGTATTGAGGTGCACGGCACCGCTCCTACTGCCTGCAAATAAAGGCTCCGGGACCATGACACTAGTCAGGCAATACCGGCCCGTGTCTTCCAGGATATTTTGCACGGTAAAATACGTTTTTAAATCTAATTTTACGAGAATAGAATCGGACCGGCAATATTACGTTTGCGGGTCCCGAAACAGAGGGGTGACAGGTCGATTCAGCGGTTACGAAATATGCATTGAAGACAGCAGATATGTGAACTGACAACTTAACAGATACCACGGCTCGCTTTGCTAACTCCGGCATGCGAGGGCGTTATTAAAAAACGAGGCTGCGCTTCTTTATGTTTTCGACGATTGACCCGGTGCCCCGTAGAAAGTACTTAATAGCTGCAACCGTACTGTTAAGATTAATGGTCTTACCGGAACTCACTTCACTGCATGATTCACGAACATACCAGAATTGTGTGGTCTGTTGTCAAACATGAAGTGTAGGATAAAAATTACAACAGACATACGGATTAACACTTCATAGACCGCAGGTTAATGTTTACTTGAATGGTTGTATTTTGTTTCTGCTGCTTGATCAGGGAGGGACAGTCGTGCTTCTCGCCAGCTTACCTGCCCTGTCATACCTGGGATATAGAGCTTGCAGAAGAGCCTGTCCTGAAGCTGTGGTTTATGCCCTCGATAAAGGTAATACTCCAGTCTCCTATGTTTGACAGTATTAATTATGAGAGTGGGAGGCTGCAAACGGTGTGTATGACGGTATAGATTTTGTCTTTTCAAATGACCCATTCTGCCGTCTGTCAGCTGAGGAGGTCTTGGAGCGTGCAGACTACCTGTACAGCTGTGGGGAGACGGAGAAGCTCTACCAGCTGCTGGCCCAGCATCAGAACAGGTGGGGTTTCCATCAGTCCCGTGGCATGTCTGTCACTCAACGTCTTAGAGCCACTGTCACCAAAACGATCCGCTTTTAGTGCGGTAGAATTAGCAGTGACTGGACTCGATGTAAGGATGGATGTCCTGAAAGGCCCGCTTATGCCCCCTAGTGACAACGCAGAGTTTCTGTGGCGGCTGGCCCGGGCCTCTCGGGACCTGGCCACGTTCCAGGACATTTCTGCAGAGGACAAAAAGAGACTCACCTATGAGGCCTTCGATTACGCCAAGGCGGCACTGGACCGGAATGAGGCCTGCTTCGCAGCTCACAAAGTAACCGGGGCCTGTTTGCAATCTCCTGCGTTTGGAATGTGACAGAGCGTTCTGTACCTCCTGTTTAACTTTATTGATCCAAAACAGGCAATTTTCTCCTCATTGTGCTTGGGTAGAGGACACCACAGCTAGTAAATTTTTAACACTCAGGACAGAACAGTCTGTAATTTGTGGTATGAACACCAGCAAACATTTATGAGAACTACAAGTGAACTACAAACCTGAACTGAAAAAGCCAGCTGTTCTTTCCCGCCCCAGTCTGTCGTGTGGTATCGCGTTGGTCTTAAACCCTGTTTCCCCACAGTGGTATGCAGTGTGTCTCAGTGACGTGGGAGACTACGAGGGGATCAAAGTAAAAATTGGCAACTCCTATATAATAAAAGAACACTTGGAGGTACGAATGACCTTTACCTGTTTGAATATGATGCTTCGATTCAGCGATCACTCATCCTTAATCTGTGCTGCCTGTGACTTGATGCAGTCAATAGCTCACAGCTGGGCAGCAATGTCCCCTCTGTCCCTGAATCCCTTCCCAGACCAGTCTGTCCTTGTTTTTAAAGAGAGCCATCGAGCTGAATCCAAAAGACGCCACATCCATCCACATCCTGGGTTACTGGTGAGTGTCAGTGGGCCTGACTGTAACCCTGTCCACATTCCAGGTTACTAGTTCGATGCACAGTTTCTCAGAAGTCACAGAAGCATCCTGCGATGCCGTGACGGCCATGCCTTATTTATGATGGCTGTTTGAGTAACCTCCACTCACAGCGCGGTTAATCTCTACAGGACTTACCTAGCATGCACTCCGTCCTTGCCCTCCCTCCCCAGGTGTTTCGCCTTCGCCGAGCTGCCGTGGTACCAGCGAAAGATCGCGGCCACCCTCTTTGCCTCCCCGCCCAACGCGACCTATGAAGAGGTGACCCCTCCCCTCCCCTCTCTCTCATCACACGAACATGCCACACACAGACCAGGCAGCCTCACCAATCCACCAGCCCTCAGACTTATGCAGCAAAGGCTGTCCTCTGTTTTTACCCAAATATCTTTGCTTCCAGGCTCTGGAATATTTCCTGAAGGCGGAGGAAGGTGAGAAATGCGGGATGAAACCCGCTTTCGCTCTGGACAGTTTTCCTATGGTGTGATAATTGCATTTCCGAATGTTTGAAAATGGTTTCGTGACCAGCTGGTAAGCCTGCATGACCCCTAGGTGACCCTTCATTTTAGGGTAGAATAGGATCCTGTTCCACAGCGGTTGGCCTGCTGATTTAGGTTCGTAATGCAGGCCAGGTTAGCGATCTAAACTCCCACCCGACTGTGGTCCTATTGGCTCTGGCTGAAATTTCCTTCCACCAGCAATCAAATTAACTCATGATTACCCCCCCCCCCCCCAGTGGACCCAAACTTCTACAGCAAGAACCTTTTGATGCTGGGCCGCACCTACCTAATGCTGAAGGACAAGGAGAAGGCGGGGCTCTGGCTGAGCCGAGCCCGAGACTACCCCGCCCACACAGAGGAGGACAAGCAGGTCGGGTCCCGCCCAATCCGGCCACAAGAAACACGCTTCAGAGTCCTCCGGAACACCAGAAAATAGAACGTACACCTAACGTGTCACTATGTTCGGAGTGACTTAATGCTACGTAGGTTTATAACCAAAGCAGGCGAGGCCGGGATGCTTTTCACACTTTCTTCCTCCTCGCAGGTCCATAAAGAAGCTTCTGACCTTCTGAAGAAGCTGCAGGGATGACCAGTGGGCACCGCACAGACACTGAGATTAAGGGCATTGGATCCTGGGACCCGTGGCCTCTTACTATTGCCTTATCAATCAGTAACTGCTAATTAACTGTGAAGATGTTTTATAAATCAGCTTTTATCATGACCCTGTATAATAAAAGGAGCATGCTGCTCCCCAAAGACTGTTTCCTTACTCTGCTTTAAATACGAGTGATGTGACAGTAAAGTTACCCCCCTCCATGAAAGTATACTAGAGAGCATCCACCAATCAGAGGCTCCCTCACAGGTTCAGGTCGGGGTCACTGTGCTGTGGCTGATCTTATCCACACACAGCCCAGCAGCACACAAAGCTGCGGTCAGGGACAGCAGGTACACAGACGAGCTGCCAGAGAGCCAACGAAGCCGCCACTTTACTGTCACATCACTCACAGAGTCCTGCCAACCTCACGTCTGCTCTGCGAGTGTCATGTTGCCCAATTAAGGGGCTACGAGATTTAAATAATCTCACCCCGACAATTAAGTGCAAAAATGGGTACTTCGATTCGTCACACCAAAGAAGAGGGTCTGATACATTTATTAAATTATTTTTTTGCTTCACAGGTATGTCCAAAAAAAAATTAAATTAAGTGTAAATAATCTGAGGAAGAAAAGTATGAATCCTGAGCAAAAGGCAGAACGGGAAACACCCATACCTGTTCCTGTAGGAGTAAAGTGTGTGTGTCTGTCTGTCTGTGTACATATAAAGTTAACGACCTGCCCCTCCCCCCACATACCGTCCCTGTCTACAGTGTCTATACTCTGATATGTTACAGTTATCATTGCTAATGGCAACATAAGTCTGGCTTAAGTTACCACATTTAAAAAAAAATTAAATATATATGTATATCCCAGATGAAATCAGTACATTTTTACAGTTGAGTTCATTCTTTATAAAATGGTAGGTATTTTCATATTACATTTAGCAAAAAAAAAAAAGGAAGTGTTTCCATGGAAAAACCCACAAGCAGTTAAGAGTAAACCGCTCCCGTTCTCTTGTGCACAACAGTGGCTCCTGTGAAAATAGGGTGATCAGGTTACACACGAGGACATTGTGGTTCCCTCGTGCAGAGCCCTAACCTCCTGGATGCTGTCACTCGAAGGGAACGGGTTTAAAACCCATAAATAAACCTTCGGCAGATCATTCCACACTAAATAGACGAAAAGCGGAGACTCCCGCCCCGGCTTCGGCTTGCGGGAACGCGACGCGTGACCCTGGCGAGGAAGACCTGCCATTCCACATGAGCTTGTCCTTATCTCTCAGCACCAAGCTTTTTAAATAAAATGTTCTCCCCCCACTACAAGGGGGTGCCAGCCTGAATCGCAGTGGCTGATTCTGTGCTGTGCCAACAGAACTAGCGGTGGGGACTTAAAATTAAAGACAAGACTCAGATCAGTACATCATGGTGCCTTTTGACCCTGGAGGGCCTCCATATTGAGCTCTTCAGTCTGAAGACCACCTGATGTATTCCATGATCTCCAGCTGTGTCTCCTGCAGAAGTCCCTCCTCGGCCAAACCAGGAAGCACAGGCAAACTGCTCCCACCTGTCCTTCAGGGTCAATCAGTGGCTCTCAGCACTAGTTAACAGCAGAATTTGACAGTAGACTCTTCTGATCCAAAGAACGATCAGCAATTCTCCAACCACGTGCTTGTTCTGCTTGAGTGGATACATGGAGGATGGCCATCCCCCGCAGCCAAGCTTAACAGAACCACCTAGAACTCCTGGTACCGGTCACACAGGCACCTGCTCTCACAATCGAGAGAATCTGTTTGCTTTTGGTAAACAAAAGGGGGGGGGGGGCATCATGAGTCTCACAGCCCCCCTAGCCTAAAGAAGCAAACACCAATAAATAACACTGATGCAGGGCTCTGAGGGTGTGGCTGGACCGTTCACCGGGAGTCCTATAAAACCCACCCCCAGCGTCGTCATGCCAACAGAACGCACACACAGGGCTGACCCGTAAAGTGCCGCACGGGGCCGTACATCAGGAGACCCACCGCCGGAGCTCTATAAAACTAGAGCCGCGGCCCGACTGCTGCTACAAATGCATCGGAGGCTTTCGGCTGAACAACATACACACACACACACTCCATGTGTCCAAGAGCCCCGGGGGCGTCGCAGCGGCAGAGGAAAAGCAGGGACGTCTTGCATATTTATGAGGAAGAAGATAAATAGCTTATGCGTCAGTAGTAGTGGTTGTGACGGTCCGCTCTCTCTCTCTCCATCTTCCGTCACTCCTGTCCGAACCCCTCCGTCTCGTCGATGGCGAACAGCAGCTTCTCTTTCAGCTGCTCAAAGCTTTTGTAGGGGGGCAGGTCGAGCCTGTTGAAGCTGGGAAGGTGGGGGGGCCGCAGAGCATGGGATTACAAACGCTTCTCTCTCACCAATGTGTGTCTGTGTGTCTCATGGATGATCAAGATGGGATGGGTGAAGAAAGGGTTACCTCATGGGGAGCAATAAATTCTCTCCATTCCTTGTTAACAAGGCATTATCCTGAATATTTATTTATATGCACACAGCACTGTGTCACTGCACTGTTCCGTTTACTATTTGCTGCAGTTTGTTTTGTGAGAAAAATTTGGGTCGTGACCTTAGGACCAAGAACATGGGTCCTGAACCTAATCCAGCTAAGAAGCACTGCCCTTCACCTCGCTGCCTTATCGTCACGCCATGAGACTCCGTGAGTGTCCTGAACTTTGCTACTCATTTAAACTAACGTCCTGATTGACGCCCTGTTCCTTCTGATGGAGTGTGAACCCCCTCCCTTCCTGCCAGCTGGCCCCTGGGGGGGCAGACAGACTCCCGCAGGGCGGCTTGGGGCCACCACACCAGCAGGCGACTCACCAGGTGTGACTCCGAGGCAGCCAGGTCTCCTTGCCCACCTTCTCGATGCAGAACTTCTGAGGACCGTTACTGCCTGCAGTGGGACAGTGGCAGGTGAGCAGGGCTTCCCCGACAAAAAGACGTCACCTGACAGCATCCCATCTAAGCAATTGGGTCTTTATCTGCACACATAGGCGTAAATCCCGGGGGAACAAGGGAATCAGGCCCCCCACTTCATGAATACATCACTGCAAACCCAACTATGTATTCAAAGCACTTGTACAAATTATAATTGCAAAGCAATGCAAGATTTCATCCCCCCCCCCTCTCCCTCACAATGGTTTGGTCCACTGCCTGCTATCCCCAATCCCACTACCACACACGTTACCCCAGTATGTGTGTCTGTGGCTCAGTGATGGTTGACTACCAGGAAGGAACCACTTGGTAGATGTTCGCTTAAGACAGCGGATGTGCCAAACATATTTCTTTACACTTACTTCTCAGTACAATCACCCACATTTACATTTGTAGCCAGACTTATTCCCATTTGGTCCGTTACCCCACGGATGAATCTTTACCTTTACTAGCTAATGGGTGCTGTGTCTCTCCAACTGGAAATAACTTATACGCGATGTGTACGTGTTTTGTCAGCCGGGCAAAAGGGAAAACGGACATATTGGTTTTCAGTGCAGCAAAACGCCAAGTTAAAAAGTCCTCATAAAAAGTCCTAATGCACTGAAGTATCATTCTGCTTTGGAGCTGCACTTATTTTGAGCTTTATGTTCAGTAAAGCTGAGATGTTAGTCCAGTGACTCATATGTAATATGCATTTAAAAATGTTTGAACATGCTAACCTTAAGTTATTTACCAATAATCTAATGTGTATAATAGTTATAAAGGGTTTCCTATGTATACAAAAGTACTTTTGGCAGCATCGTTTGTGTTCCTGAAGAATTTTTAGAGAAATTTTTCTGTTTATTGTAAAATGAGATTTTCACCCGTGCTTGCACATATACCATACATTAATGTATCATCATTTTTAAATATTTATTTCTGTAATATCACAATACTCTTTTTCTAGATATTCTATTTGTGTAGTGTGTACTTTTGTCTGCACCACGTTTGTTTGCATTGTCTGTCTGCACCAGAACTTCCTCCTGCGATCAAAAAATCTTAATCCACTAAGAAAGCAAAATATCCACTTCTAATGTCACTCATTTTCCTAGCTGACACCACCTTTTCAGTCAATTTAATTTATTGGTTTGTTCTCATGATTCCCAGGGACAGGAGGCTGAAGCCTATTCTCACAGCTGATTGGTTGGGGGGAAAACAGACGACTAACCCATGAGCTCGGAGAAGCCCCCTAGTGGTAGACGGCACGTCCCCGTCACAAATTGCAACAGCCGCAGACGCACTTCGTTGTCCACCTCCTTCACAAACTGCAGTGGGTGAGAGAGTGTCACACATTCAAAACACCAGATATCATAGCCATCTCACCCTACCAGCATGGGCCATCCAAGCATATCCTCTGCACACTCCCACAATGCTTTGCTCAGCGTGTACCGAAGCACCCGCAAGGTAGGTGGGGCAGTACCTGCCAGAACCACATGATCTGCTTGCTGTTGCGGGTGTAATGCCGGTACACTGTGTGCCTCTGCCAGTCCTGCAGGTCCACCTCCTGCATGCCGCACAGCATCACCTGCGACACATGAGCGCAGCATGCGAGCGCATATTGCATATTTATTGCGCATTTATTGCAAATTGTCTTGTCTTATTGCATTAATGTTTGTCCTAATGCCCTCCCCCCCCCCATGCACCTCTCCAACACCAGTATTTGTCGGAACACACCTGACTATAAAAACTGGAAACTTGACTATGGCGCCCCCTACCTCCAGCTCCTTCTCATCAAAGTACTGCAGCCACTGCAGGGGCACCACCTCGTTGAATCCGTCGAGGAACGCTTTGGTTTGGTCGGCCACTCCCCTGGAAAACCGCCACTCTGCCATCAGCCTGCCGGCAGGTGGGGGTGAAGGGGGCACAGTCGAGTGAGTGACAAGCCGGTCGCCTTGGGTACCACGCGAGCTTGACACTCCCCTTCCTGCCCCGGCCTACCCAATGTACTCCTCCTTGTTCTCCTCGGTGACCAGCAGCGACGCCCCATCGGGTTTCAGGTCGTGGGAGGTGATCTTGCCCAGGATCTCCATGTCGACTGAGAAGTACATCTCCAGGTCGCACTCCTCGATGTTATTGTCCCTGAGGAATGGATGGTTTGCGGCGTGAAGATGGGGGGGGGCTGCAGGGCAGGGGCTGCAGGGCAGGGGCTG